ACTTCTGGTATCACAGTCATTTTCTCTGTGATGAACAGAGAAATGCACAACTTCTGGAAGACTGGAAGTTGTGACACAAAACGAGATCAGAGAGCATCATGATTTAGCAGTGATCAGACAAAAACAAATTGGGGTTTAGAGTTCTGTGTTGTTTACTTTTGTAGTGCTTTAGGACACCCTTCAGGGAGCTGAGGTGAGGACTGACTGGCTGTGACTTACCTGTAAGCATTAGTCATCTGGAAGTAATTCTTACCTGTTTAATATCTTGATTTTTACAAACCCTATACCTATTTAGACTTTTTAATTTTGTTGATTCCGTTATCAGGTCCCAGTGGCATTAGACCCTGAGAGCTTTTAATCTTTTGTTTTTTCCACGAGAGGACTGTAATCAGTCACAGAAACGAAGGCACTGCATGTATCATTCAGTGCCAGGCTTTGGGCTGGGCTTCCTTCGGCACAATGAGGGATAAAAATTCTCCATAGCCCTTGGCTAGTTTCGTTCCCTGTAACACGAACACCCCCACACAACACCCTGTAGCCTCGGTTTGCCCTTTCTATGAATGTTCATTTGGCCTTCTTTTGCTGAAACTGGGTTTAATGGTAAAGATTTTTTTTTTATGCCTTTAATTAGCAGCAAAACCCCTTCTCACTTGAATTGCTGTAGCCACCTGCTCAGCTTTTGTGTGTGCGCCATGTGGCCTCAGCCTCTGTACCTGGTGAGGGCTGCGTGCTGGGTGCCAATGAACTCTCAGGTGCAGAAGAAGCCTGACTCGCCCCACATATCTGTTTATTTTTGGCAGGCATTCAACTCGGAAACAGACAGCTTCAAGCTGGCGTATGGAGGTCATCAGTATCACGCCAGCTGTGCCAACTTCTGGATCAACTGTGTTGAACCAAAACCTCCCGGCCTCATCCTGCCTGATTTGCTCTGAAAAGTACCTCTTTGAAGTACCTACTGGGTTTGTTTGTCCATCATACCCCAGGAGGCGACAGGGACCAATGAGCAGAATGCAGGACTGCGCCGTTCACCTCCACGAACCTGTATGAGGAGTTCCCCGGGCGGTAAGGGGGAGAGAGAAGCTGCCGGGCTCCTAGTCATTCCCGCAGACATTTATCCCCTAGATCCCACTGCCAGCCTTAGGGATTTGAGGTAAAATTGCCCTGCCCAAACTGCACGTGGCACCAGAAGTTTGCTAACTTCTAAGTTCTGCTAAGATGTTTTAAAATATGGGACCACAGTTTTCTTTAAGGAATCATTTGCTGCTGCAGTATTAAAACTGTGAAGAATTGACGTTTGAAGAAAAATAAATTGTAATAGGACTGGAATTGGCAAGAACGTTTTTGAGCCAGTACTTGCTTCTGTCTAGAACCCTGCTGTCCTGTGAAGTAGAATGCATTTATCCACATGTAGTTTGCTATCTGAAATGAATAAAAAGGAGACATTGTGATTAAACTGACGATTTTTTTCTCGAAAGACTTCTGCTTAGCTCCATTGGATGATGGAAGTGGGTGAGGGCAGGTTGAACGGACTTTGCGGTCACAGCTGAACCAGTTATCCATTTGTTCATTTCTCAAACTGTCAGCATCAAGAAGACATGTTCTCAAAGCACACCTGGACACTTTGCAATGGATTGAGTATTGATTTTGACAGAGGCCCAAATCTTTGTGTATCGGAATGAATAAATACCCTTCCCCTTTAGGAGCCTTCACTGAAAACTTTGTTTTGCCTCAAAGACTGTGAATGTAGTATTTTTTGCAGACAAGATTTGGAAAGGCAGCTGAATGAAACCTCTTGGCAGTGGCCTTTGTCCAGATTTCCAGAAATGACTGCATAGGGACCAATACTGCCTGACTTTGCAGTAGTATGTGAGAGACCTGAAAATTAATTCAGGGTTAGAAGGTGGAGCTCCTGCCCTATAGAGGCAAATAGATGTATATTTATGGTAGAGGTACATGACTTAGAAACAGTGGAAGAAAATTACTCCAAAACAGCAAGGAATTCTGTTAGGAAAAGGCTCATGCCTGCTGTCTGGTGTAGGGAATGTGCCATTTAGACTGCATAAAATCAGAAAGGGAAGAAAAAAGCGAAGTGGTTAAGGAATGTGAAGCTGTGAAGCCCTGGGAAGAACAGGCCAACCTCGGACCCACACTTCTCTGGCTTATAAATTCTGGGCTTTACGAAGAGATTTTGACTCCTGTGTTTCACCTTGTGTGACTTAGGCTCTCTGACCTCAAGTCAGTTTTTATTTGTAAACTGAACAAGATCGTCTTGTCTATAAAATTGCTGCTTTAAATAATTAAGTAGGTTGTTTTCCTTTCTTGGGACAAAACTGGAGGGGATTCTGTTCTATCTTCTGCCTTTAACCGCCATCTTCTCCAAGAAAGGTACAGAATGTTTTCCTTAAGCAGCTGTTGATGAGGCTTCTGTTTTACCTTGCTGTGCCCCAGAATGCACAGGGAAGCATTGACAAGATAAATGTGCTTCTCATTTTCTCCAGATTCCTCTCCAGTGGGATGACTGACATAGCCTGTCTGAATCATTACCCTCAGGGCCTTTGTCCTCCACAGGGCTACTTGACTTAGTACCTGCGGCAGCGAGCTGGGTCCTCAGGCTTCCCTGAGGTCTCTGTCTCCACTTCAGCCTGAGCAGCGGCCTAGTTTCACCATGGCACCAGGATTAAAGCAGGCCTCTGACCCGTCTCATACATTCCATAGTAGAGCAGGATGACCGAATCTGCCTTGGCCTGCGATAAGAATGCCTCCCAGTTTGACAGAAATTTACAGCACTGAGACAGTTTCTGGAAATGCCTTATAGACTACTATTCTGTCGCAATGGCTTATGTCAATGACATTTTAAAAAGTGTGCTCACCTGCTAACTAGAATGGTTCCATTCCTAGAGAGGTTGCAGAGTGCAAGGATAATCATCAGGTACGATAGGTTTGGTCACTCCATGGGAGGCGCAAGAGGAAAATACAGCAGACACCAACAAAAAAACCTTTGCTGTGAAAGATATTCATGACTTTTGGCATCTGTTTAGTAGTGGAAATGTTCACTCAGATACCACAAGTAAGGATTTCCAGAGTGTGGAATCATATCCTTGCATTTTCTTTATGTGTGCATGTTTATTCAGATGACTCAACACTGCATTCATCTTCACCTCGGCTGTTACGAGCCAGAGTCCAGTGTCCTTGGAAACAGTAACCAAGGTTACTTATTTCTGTACTGCGTGAAGTGCAGGCAGCTCCTGCCCCGCTGCCTGAGTGGCGGTGCATAAGCGCTTTTCTTTTGGTATTGTATTTTGCTTCTAGAGGCTTTTTGGCTTAGTGTGTAATTTAATTTTTGTCTGGACACGCTTGAGGTAGAAGAGGCACAGGGTGTTATTATCTATGCTGTATTTGTCCTATGGCTACTAGTTAACACTCTAAATAGGTTGCATATTCTAAGTTATTTGAATATTGTATATACATGTACATATTTGTTGCTGTCTAAAGATGCCATCTGCTTGCCTTTTATTGGATGACTTGTGTGACCTTAAGCTTTGGAAAGATTATAGGGCCTCTATATTATAGAAGCTTGCCCTGCACCAGTGATCACTACAGAAATTCCCCTAACACCTTCTAGGTCACACGCCTTCCTTTGTGACCAGCTAATAAAGTCTGACATTTAGATTAGAAAGGTGTTAGGCTTCTTAAGTACTGAGAATGCTTAGTTACATCCCAGTACTGTCGTTGGCCAGGATTTCTGCAGGCAATTTTCCTACCAAGAACATCTGTCACCCAGTGTTCTCTTACTGTAGTACAGTGGTTATTTTTGGACTCTTATCCACAGACTGTACGACTTAACAGTTTGCCTTCATACCAGAGAAGCCATAGCCTCCACAGCCACAGATTCTTTTATTGTTCTTATGATTGCTTTTCAATCATGTGCTGATGTAGCATTTATGGGTTCCTCCGATTTCCCATAAAAACTTATTTTAATATTCCTATTTAGACAGTAGTGCATGCTTATGAAAGTGAGTAACTAGGGGGGCACCTGGGTGGCTCAGTCGGTTAAGCGTCCGACTTTGGCTCAGGTCATGATCTCACGGTTCGTGGGTTCGAGCCCCACGTTGGGCTCTGTGCTGACAGCCAGCTCAGAGCCTGGAACCTGTTTCATATTCTGTGCCGCCCTCTCTCTCTGACCCTCCCCTGCTCACACTCTCTCTCTCTCAGAAATAAAAAAAAAAAAAAAAGAAAAGAAAGTGAGTAACTAGGATGAGACAAGGTAGAATTTGGATGGAAACCATTGCCATGGACCAGGTAAAATCTAGAAAATATAATTTATATAAATATGTAACACTGGCATTGTATGTATGGCTTCTTGTCAAGACAGGCCAAAAATCTAAAAATTATTCCATGGATAAAAGCAAGCTATAACCTACCTGGCAAATGAAGTAAAATAAAGCAACACTGTGACCGAGCAAGGGTAATCTGATGGTTCCTAATAGTTTGTGAGGAGTGTGGAATAGGGAAGAACTAATTAAACTTCTACCAAGTCCCTGATGAGTTATGTTGTCATATTTACTAGGAACAGTGAACTGGGTGATGTGGTTCCAAGTTTCAACACAGGAAGCCAATGTTATTTGCTGGTCACTTCTATGGAGGTTTGGTTTAGGACATTTTGTGTCAAGCAAAGGCACAGCTTTTGTTAAAAAACAATTTCTTTGATGGAGGACTCACTGCTTTGGTGCACTCCAGTTGCCAAGAGACAACCGAAAACCATACCTTTTATCAGAGTGGACACTCTGTGCTGTTTTCCATGGCTTTAGCACTGTGACTGGTATCAATGTCTGCCCATCTGCAAGGATGTGAAACGTTGACATAGTTCAGCTGAGAGGTCTATTTTAAGTTGCATAGTTGTCACAGGAGCCGGATTTTAACGCGGTTACTGGAGAGCATCTTTCTTCCAGCATCAGCACACATATACACATACCCTGGGGTTCTTAGTAAAAATTCTAGTATGTTATGCAGATATATTTATTAAAAATAGTGCTAATATAGTCCTGGGGCACAATGATTCCAAGAGGGTGTTTGCAGCAGATTTCATAATTACTTAACAACTAGATAACAAAGGTTTATTTATTTATTTTTTTAACTTACAGAGTCACTAAATAATAGGAAAGGAAAGAGTAGGGCTAATCCAGTAGAGACTGAAGCTGGTATCAATCTTCCCTAAGCATCTGTGTGGTCAGCAGCCTTGGGCAAAGCTTGTCTCTAAAGGGTTAATGAGGACCCAAAGTGATTTTTGCACTGAGCTCCTTCGGCACCTGCCATAATGCCTAAAGGCATGGGATTCAGAATATAGCAGAACCAAACAGTTTATTAAACTGTTCAAATTGTTAAAAATGATGATTAAAAGCCAGTTAAAGATTTTCATAAACACTATTCCAAAATGTTAGTTTTAAAAATGTTACTAGCAATGTATGCATTCCCCTTAATGTTCCTCCCCCCCTCCCTATCTTTTAAAATAAACTTGAACACCCAGTGTAAAAAACACTTCAGGGAGAACCAAGAGTCAACCATTTGAAAAGAAAGGTGAAGAGGGGAACAGACGGTGTGTAGCAGATGCTGGTACTGCTCAAGGGGCTGCTGATGCAGGCTTTGGTGGCATTATATCCCCCAGTAAGGCATCAGGTGTCGGGACTCTTTCTCATAAACGTCTGGAACTATGCCATAAGGTGTCTGTACCATTTTAACTGTCGACTTCCCAAAGAGCTGGCGCTCGTAGTCTATCAGCTGCCTCCAGAAACCTACGTTGGGCCTGATGACGGGCCTACGGGCTTTCACCCAGTTGTACGCCTCCAGCAGGCACACACTGTGGAATTTCATCAGGTAAGCAATGCAGAGAGTGGCCGAGCGGCTCACCCCTGCGGCACAGTGCACCAACGTGGCCCCATGCTTCCTGCTCACACTGTGGATCTTGTCAGCCACAGTGTCAAAGTACAGTCCAATGGGAGCATGGGGCATGTCAGCCAGAGGCACTTTAACATATTCAAATTGGGGCCAGTTGAAATTGGGGATCTCAATGGTAGCATTAACGATGCAGGTGATGCCACGAGCCTGGAGGAGGTGCCGGTTGGAGGCCACACTGCCTCTGCCCAGGAAGAGAGAGGAGGTAATTTGAGCGATGCCTCCTATGTCTCCCTCAGAAATCATCCGAGGGGCCATGAGAGTCCGTGGGAGCGTGCTGTGACCTCTGGAGCCCATGAAGATGCCAGCAATCACACTTGCATTGTTGGCAGCAAGACCAGAGAGCTTTGTGTTCCTCCACCAAGGAATCCAAAATCACAGTGTCCTTCCTGCAAAACACAGGTTAGCTGTCAGTACTTTAAATGCTATCGATTCATCAGGACCTTCTATAGTTTTATGGAATGGGAAGGTGAAAGGATTAGAAATGGTCATTTTCTATAACAGACTACATTCTTTCAAGGATGTAGACAAATCATTTTCTATTAACAGGACAAGTAGCCTAAGACATCAACATATAAAATCAATGTTAAAATTCAACTCTCTGGTGATTCTACTAAAAAAAAAAAAAAAAAAAAAAAAAAAAAAAAAAGGCACTAAATGCAAATAGTCATCTTATTTTAGAAATAGTCTTAACTCAGAAACATGCCCAACTGGTTCCTGAACAGCAATCTTGCATGGCCTTGCTCATACTAAAGGGAGTGGTGTTCCCTGGTAATTAGGAAGAAATGAGAAATTCTGATCACTCTTGCAGTCATGTTCTTTCATACGCTTCTTGCCTACTTCTGCAGCTATGGTTCCTGTATCTTCCTAAACCTAGTTCTAGACACAGAGATCTTACAAAAGGTATAAAAATGATATCACATTAAGTGATATATTAAAGGAACTGCCTTTATGAACTAAAAAGATACTGAATTCAGGAGGAGTTATAGAAAAGCCAGGACATGTGGTCACCTTAGCCCTTCTTTAAAAAAAAAAAAAAAAAGCTAAATAGTAACGTGTGCTATGGCATCTCCATGGGAATAATCCAAGGCACTTTGAAGGCCATGATCTCAAAAATACATTAGTCTTGGGCCACCTGGGTGGTTCAGTCGGTTAAGTGCCTGACATCAGCTCAGGTTATGATCTCAAAGTTCATGAGTTTGAGCCCATATTGGGGTCACTGCTTTCAAAGCAGAGCCCCCTATGGATCCTCTGTCCCCCTCTCTCTGCACTTCCCCGGCTTGCATACTGTCAGTCAGCAGAGTATGCAACCCTTGATCTCAGGGTTGTGAATTCAAGACCCATGTTGGGTGTAGAGATTACTTAAATAAGTTAAATAATTTAAAAAAATACATTAGTCTAAGTTCATGAGCCATTTTAGCTGGCCTGACCCTGGCTGTGGTTAAATGAGAACATCACCTTCCTCAGCCAAATCTCAGCTGCAAGAGGAATCCCACTGGCTTCATATGCATGTTGAAATTAACATTTAGTTTAATATTTGAAGATCTACATTCTCATTAGTACAATATTTGATATAAAAGACTTTTATAGGGCGCCTGGGCGGCTCATTCGGTTGAGCATCTGACTTCAGCTCAGGTCATGATCTCACAGTTGGTGGGTTCGAGTCCTGCATTGGGCTTTGTGCTGACAGCCAGCTCAGAGCCTGGAACCTGCTTTGGATTCTGTGTCTCCCTCTCTCTCTGACCCTCCCCTGCTCATGCTGTGTGTCTCTCTCTCTCAGAAAGAAATAAAACATTAAAAATTTAAAAATTAAAAAAAAAAAGACTTTTATATAATGCCCATATAGTACACCAGTAACAAAGAAATGGAAATACTGGTTTCCTGAGATTTTAGACACAATGCTTCCTCACAGCGTTTTATAGTCTGGGCCCAATGGGAAGTGTGTTCATCTCCACCCAGGGTAGGATAGGAGTACCCGAAGAGATTTCAGTTGGATAAGAACATTTTCAGTTCCATGGACAGAGGTGGTGCTCACGGAGCCACTCACTTGTGAGGAATCTGGTTACACTGCAGTCCTGGGTCACGATCTGGAAAGTCCTGAGTGTTGATCACAGTGGATATAAATCAGATCTGCAGAAAGACAGAGAGGCAACAATGTGGCCAATCAGGAAGTTCAAAAGAATTCCTCCTGGGTTTTTACTACTAAACTGGGTTTGACTGGAATAAATCTAAGTAGTGGAAAGCAAGCTAAATATATCTAGATGTGCATTTAAAGGATGTGCCAGTTAAGAAATATAAACTTAAGTCTCAGCTTTTTGTTAATGATATGTAACCCACGGCGTGACAAACGTTTAGGTGCAGTTTTGTCCATGACTAGTTTTTGAAAGGAAATGTAAGGCACTGCTCACTGGGTCCAGAAGAGATGCAGAACAAGCTAGAGTCCCTTCCATGTGCTCTCAGTCAACCCAGTGGTGTGGGAGACCGCGTGCAGTGTGCTGGGCAACTCAGGAGGTCCAGCAGCTAAGGCAGGATCAGGGAGCCAGCTTCATAAATGCCACCTGCAGGAGGAGGTGCTGGTGCTGCAGACAGCATTGGGAATCTCATTTTCTCTGCCACTTTGGACCTCTTATTTTTTTCATTTATCTAACAGTATGATGAGCACCAATGAGCATCGTTAAAAATGGGTTCCTCCCCTACCTGTCCCTCTGCCTTTCCCATCACATTTAATATTTTTTATAGCTCTGTTGAGGCATGACTGACATGCAAGTTGATACACACCTTGACCAAGTGTACAACTTGATATGAGTTTTTAATTTTTTTAATTTTTTATTTTTAGAGAGAGGAAGAGAGAACGTGTGCAGGGGAGGGAGAGAATCCCAAGGGAGAGCCACACTCAGCACAGGTCCTGATCCACTGACCATGAGATCATGACCTGAGCTGAAATCAAGAGTCAGACGCTTAACCGACCAAGCCACTCAAGCGCCAGATGAGTTTTGAATTCTGTGCATACATTCGACACACCATGGCCTCAACAAAATTCAATCCATGACCCCCTCCAAATTTCCTCCTCATTCCTCCCTCACCTTCTAGCCCCATTCCCAAGCAACAACTGATGTTTTCAGTCATTATTTTTACATTTCCTAGATTTTTATAAAATAGAATGATAATATAGGGGTTTTGTTTGTTTGGCCTGGCTTTCACTCAGCATAGTTAATTTGACATTCCTCTGTTTCTGCATGTATCAACAGTTCATTCCTTTTTACTCCTGAGTAGTATTCCATGGTATAGATGGTTTATTCACTTACTGATAGAAATTAAATTGTTTGTAGTTAGAGGCTATTACAAGTAAAGTTGAGGTAGAACATGGTGTAAAACATTCATAAATTAGTATCTGTGGACATATGCCTTCCCTTCTCTTGGTTAAATACCTAGGACTGGAATGGCCGGATCCTATGACATGTTCATATTTAACATTTTTTAAAAGCTTTAAAAAGTTATAACATGCAGCTCAAGGGGCAGGCTTCTAATTAAACACACATGGATATAAGCATCCGCTGTCATCCTCTCCCAAATGACAGTATTTCCCAGCAAGGAGCTTTCTACATGTGTCTGGTGCCCTGGTTTTAGCTGGCTGCCACCAGGGGACACCCACTGCCTGACAGCTCTGGTGGCCTGTACAGGCCCCTGCATTCCATGGGATTACTGGAATTGAAGAGACCTTCTCAACTGGCTACTGCCCCCAGGGCGCTGCACAAACAGCCAACTGAAACATACTCTCTGCCTTTCTGTAAAAAAGGCTATTGCTTGTTCTGGAGCTTGAGCCTTGGGGCGGTGGCCAGGGGATGCCGTCTCCCTGCTTTCCCTCTGCCCCGCTCACAAGTCTCCAGTATCTCCTGAAAAGGAACTTGTATACCTGCCTGGTGCCCCGATTTTTGTGACTGCTGCCCAGGGAGGCACCTCTAGATCATCTGGCTTGGCTGGCCAGGGGACTGACACTTTCGCAGTTCCACAGGATTATGATATATCTGTGCATATGTTTAAAGCTGCTGACTGAGATCCTCCCCTTAGAACATGATAGGTCTTGTCACATGGCCAACTACTAGGAGCCACTAAAATAAATAGGCTACTTGGACAATCGCAAAGGTTTGAGAGAAAACCAAAACTAAGGCAGTATTGAACAGTGAGGTTTATCTCCTGCACCAGGCACTCCTTGAAGACTGGAAGAGGTGGCTATCTTATCTAATGCATAGAAACCAACACAGAGGTGAGGAAAAACGAGGAAACAGAAGAATATGTTCCAAATGAAAGAACAAGATAAAATCTCGGGAAAAATCCTTAATGGAGAGAAGTGATTTACCTGATAAAGACTTCAAAATAATGGTCATAAAGATGCTCACTAAACTTGGGAGAAGAGTGAACACAGAGCTTCAACAGACAGAATATATAAGAAAGTACCAAATAGAAATCATAGAGCTGAAGAACACACTAAGTCAACTGAGAAATATACTAGAAATATACTAAAGGGTTTCAACAGGAGACCTGTATGACACAGAACAGCAAAAGAATGAAAAAAGTGAAGACAGCTTAAGGTACTTATGGAACAACATCAGGTGGATGAACATTCACATGACAGAGGTCCCAGAAAGAGAAGAGAAAGGAGCACAGAATGTATTTGGAGAAATGATGGTTGAAAGCTTCCCTAATCTGGCTAGAGAAGGAAACAGACATCCAGTTTGAGGAAGCTCAGAGAATTCCAAATAAGATGAACCTAAAGGGACTCACACTAAGACACATTATAATTAAGCTGTTGAATGCCAAAAGACAAGGAGAAAATCTTCAAAGCACTAAAAGAAAAGCAACTTGTTACATAAAAGGGACTCCCCGCCCGCCACATAAGACCATCAGATTTTTTAGAAGAAACTTTGCAGGCCAGAAGGGTGTGGCACAACACATTCAGGGCAATAAGGAAAAGTCTCAAGGATACCCAGCAAAACTGTAGTTCAGAAGTAAAGGAGAGAGTTTTCCAGAGAAGCAAGAGCTACAGGAAGGAGTTCATCACCACTCAACTGGCCTTACAAGAAATATTAAAGGACTTCTTTAAGCCAAAAAGAAAGTAACGGGAAAACACATGAAAGTATAAATCTCACTGGTGAAGGCAAATATAGTAAAATTTAGAATAACACTGTAAAGGTGGCAGATTAATCACTTATAAAACTACTATGAAGATTAAAAAAGTAACAAAATTATAAATACAATAATTAGTCGAGCAATATACAAGATATAAAATGTGACATCAAAAATATAAAATAGAAAAATTATTTATATATACATAATATGGGAGGGAGTAAAACTATAGAGCTTTAGCACGTATTCAAACTTAAGTTGTTATCAGCTTAATAAGACAGACTCTTGTAAGCTGTTATACATAAGCCACACAGCCACAAATCAAAAGCCTATAGTAGGTACACAAAAGACAAAGGAATCTAAGCATACCACAAAATCATCAAATTACAAAGAGACGAAAGTAACAGGAGTTACAAAACAGCCAGGAGACAATGAAAAATAATGGCAATAAGTATGTACCTATCAATAATTAAATATAAATGGACTAAATTCTTCAATCAAAAGATAAAACGGCTGAATGAAACAAGATTCATCTATATGTTGCCTACAAAAGACTGATTTCAGACGTAAGGACACAAGCATACTGAAAGTGAAGGGACAGAAAAAGACATTACGTATAAATAGAAACTGAAAGAAAGCTGGGGTAACTATATTTACATTAGACAAAAAAGACTTTAAAACAAAGCCTGTAATAAGAGACAAGAAAGGCATGACATGATGATACAGGGCTGCCTAGCTGACGCAGTGGAGTATGCGCCTCTTGATCTCAGGGTTGTGAGTTCAAGCCCCATGTTGGGCTTAGAGATTACTTTTTAAAAATATCAGAAAATTTATGTACCTAACACAGGAGCACCTAAGGATATAAAACAATATTAATAGACCTAAAGGAAGAAATAGACAGCAATATAATGATAGTAGGGGACTTTAACACCCCACTTTCAATAATGGCTAGATCATCTAAGTCAGAAAATCAATAAGGAAACACCGGCCTTAACACCTTAGACCAGATAGACTTAACCCAAAAGTAAGAGAATACATATTTTCAAGAGCACATGGAAGATTCTCCAGGATGGATTATATATTAGGCCTCAAAACAAGTCTTAATAAAGAAGACTGAAGTGGGGCGCCTGGGTGGCTAAATCTGTTGAGCGTCCGACTTCGGCTCAGGTAATGATCTCATGGTTCGTGGGTACGAGCCCCGCGTTGGGCTCTGTGCTGACAGCTGGCTCGGAGCCTGGAGCCTGTTTCAGATTCTGTCTCTCTCTCTCTCTCTCTCAGAAATAAATAAAACATTAAAAAATTTTTTTTTAAATAAAAATAATAAAAAAGACTGAAGTGATACCTAGCATCTTTTCCAACCACAATGGTATGAAACTAGAAATCAATTACAGGAATAAAACTATAAAATTAACAAATTAATTAAACAACATGCTACTGAACAACCAATGGGTCATAAAAAATAAAAAACTACCTTGAGACAAATGAAAATGGAAATCTAGCATACCAAAACTTACGGGATGCAGCAAAAGAAGTTCTGAGAAGGAAGTTCATAGTGACAAATGCCTACATCAACAATCAAGAAAACTCTAAAAAAAAATCTAACTTTACACCTCAAGGAACTATATAAAGAAAAAACATGACACCCAAAGGTAATAGAAGGAAGGAAATAACAAAGGTCAAAGTGAAAATAAATGAAATAGAAACTAAAAAGACGATAGAAAAGATCAATGAAAGTGAAAGATCATTCTTTGAAAGGATAAACAAAACTGACAAGACTTCAGCTAAGCTTACTAAGAAAAAGAGAGAAAGGACTCAAATTAGTAAAATCAGAAATCAAAGAAGAGAAGTTATGACTGATACCACAGAAATACCAGAGATCATAAGAGACCATTATAAACAATTATACCTAACAAACTGGACAACTTAAAAGAAATGGACAAATTCCTAGAAACATACAACCTGCCAAGAATGAATCATGAAGTAGAAAATATGAATGGGCCAATATC